CCCCCCCCCCCGCCTGTTTCCCTTGACTGCTGTATTTTGGTACATTGTCCTTATAACTTTCCACTTTTAGTATGTGTGTGCGTCTGGGTCCTTTTATATATATTTTTTTCTTTTATTAATTTTTTTAAAAAGGTTTTTACTTGAATTTGTTTGGCCCTTACTGTCCCACCCCTTTCAGTCATTGGATTTCACTTCTTCAATCATGGAAGCTCAGCGTCACATGTGAGCCTGTGTTCTATCAAAGTTTGTGACTACGTTAAAATGTGTGACCGGTCGTGTGGTCACCGAGTGTCCCAATACTTTTGCCAATATAGTGTATGTCCTTCAAGGTGGCAAGGGAGCATGAGGCTGGCTTTCCGGCCAATCAGAAAGCCTAGCGCTGCGTCATTACACGACGCCCAGCTTCCTGATTGACCAGCTTCCTGACCATTCAGGAAGCAGGGCAGCGACTCATTACACGTTGCCCGGCTTCCTGATTGGCCGGGAAGCCGCCTCCATGCTCCCTCGTCACAAGTGACGAGGGAGCATGGAGCCGGCTTCCCAGCCAATCAGGAAGCCAGGCAGCGTGAAATGACTTGCTGCCCGGCTTCCTGATACCGGAAACTCAAGTATCGGGCTAGGCATCAGAGCATTTGTACTCGTCCAAATACTCAGCATCGGCAGCGATACTAGTATTGGTATATCCCCAGTATATATACTGTAAATGGTAATAACAATGTATTGCAAGACAAATAATCTACTATGTGTGTGAAATACACTACTTTCTCCAGTGATAAAGGGATAGGATTATCGAACAAATGGAGTGAAATATGCGTGGGCACCACTAGTACGACTGCCATACTGGTCATGGTAGAAAAATGCGGCATTATTCAGAATCACCAACCATACCTGGGAAAGATGTTGGGCAACAGGAGAAACAAAGCAGCTCCTGTACGTCCATGTCAATGCCTTGTGACAGGTAGTTACTGCAGCAATTGTGATTGTAGTCACCTTGCCCTAAGCGGGGTGACTCCTTGTAGTTCTGCTAAACTGTAGCCAGTCTGTGCTGATTTAATAGTTCTGCACTCATTTGGTTTCCCCTGAGCTCTCTATTATCGTTTGTATCTGCCTGCTGCTGGGTGTGACCTTGCAGTAGAGCAGAGCAGCCAATAATGTAGCGTTATGAATAAGTGTGTCTCCCTAGCCAATCACTAGGAGGTTACTAGGAGGCCAGTGGTGCATGTTGGGGGAGGACATAAATATTCAGAGCTGACCATTTGAGACTCTCCCCCCTGGGCCTCCTGCCTGGGGGAGGGTGCGTGTTCTAGGTACTGCCTGACAAGGCCTGAATGGAGACTCAGTCAGGGTCTGCGGCTTTCCTGCCAGTGATGGGGGAAGCTGTGCCCAAGATGGAGAACCAGGGACGAACTTCGTCTGCTGGAGATGCAAGAGACGCCAGGATGGGCTTGGGCCTCGCAGGAAGTCCGGTGTCTCATCTTGGGAATTCTGTGCTTTGTCTACTGACCAGCAAAGGTTCTACGATACACAGTGTTACTGCAATCAGCTTAACCGCTTGAAGACTGGGGTGTTTAGACCCCTTCCTGGCCAGGTAATTTTTCAGTGTTCAGCGCTGCGATACTTTGACTGACGTTTATTCCGTCATGCAGCGCTGTACTGAAATGAATTTTATACCATTTTTTGGGGACAGATAGAGCTTTCTTCCGGTGGTATTTAATCACCACTGGGGTTTTATTTTTTACTATATTCAGGAGAAATTACGGAAAATGTTGAAAAAAAATAATATTACCCAGTTTTTTGGTAAAATATAAAAGACGGGGTCACGTCGGAGGGGGGCGCACGTCACGGGACCTCATACAAGCGATCCGCCGGCTCTATAGCCGGCGGATCGCTTGTATATTAACGGGCATCGCTGCCTGTTTTCAAATAACGGGCATTTCCCGCCCGAGCGGGCGGATGTAGCAGGACGTGTATACACGCCCAGTTACATCCAAGAAGCACCCGGCCGGCCGTGTATACACAACGGCCGGCTGGGAAGTAGTTAAAGGCCCTCTGCACTGTGAAGCTGGGAGGTGATTGGTGAGTCTGGAGCCTGTACTGTCCTAGGTGTCTGTTGCCCTAACTCTCTCTCCCATGTGAGCTGTTGGATAAATAAAACCTTTGAAACGCCTGAAAGTGACTGGGGCCCAACTTTACATTAGCATTCCACAACCGGCTAAGAACTCATCCCTAAAATGTCAGGCCACCCTGCCTCCGGGGTCCCTCACATGCCTTTGGGAGCCAGGGGGGTACTACATGAGTCATGATCATCCCTAAGGTGTTTCATTGACATCTTTTCAGTCAGCCATAATTCAACCAAGTTTGACAAATTCAGAAATCTAATGGATTTAAAGTAGAATTCTAGGCAAGTCAAATTATAACCCTTGCAGTGGTGCTACCTCCACATTACAAGGGTTAAGTGCTCATTTTGTGTAGGGAGCTAAAATAAAAAAGTTATACTCACCTGAACCAGGATCTCAGCTTGCTCTTAGACCGGTCCCTCTAGTTTCGCTCCCCCTCCTCTCCAGCGGTCTAAGGTCCTTTGAGTCATCACGCCCTATACAGATAGAACGTGAGGACGCCAAGGGACATGCCATCATTGGAGTGGAGGAAACAGACTAGAGCACATGTGTCAAACACAAGGCCCGCGGGCCGAATCCGGGCCACCAGGCAAAATCATGTGGCCCTTGCACCTCTCCTGCAGCTTTACATTTTTAAAACAAAGCCGACACTGTTAACAGGCGCCGGGCTTCACCGGAAGGCTGCCAAGGTCCCAGCAACTTTCCTGTGAATCGCGGCACCTGTTTACAGCGCCGGACATAAATCTCCTCCTCCTGTGGATCGATGCTGCCCACACCCGTCAAGCCCGACTGGTACCCCCAGTGAGACTGCACAGCCCTCCTAAGACTCCGTGGAGCCCAGAATAGACACCGTACGGCGACCTGAGAGTCTGCACAGCCCACCATAGACCGCACATAGCCAGATAGAGCTTTCTTCCGGTGGTATTTAATCACCACTGGCCACTTGAGAGCCTGCACAGCCCACCATAGAACCTGCATAGCCACCTGAGAGTCCGCACAGCCCACCATAAACCCCACAGAGCCCACTATAGACTGCAACTGGCTCTTTGAGGGCAACCATAACGCTGATGCAGCCCACGATGAAATTGAGTTGGACACTCCTCTTCTAGAGGGACCGATCTAATGGCAAGCTGGGATCACGGTTCGGGTGAGTATAACTTTGTTATTTTAGCTCCTTAGACAAAACAAGCAGTTAAGCCTTGCGGTGCGGGGGTAGCCCCACTGCAAGGATTAGGATTTGATTTGCCCGGAGTTCTGCTTTAACAATTAAGCACTATAAAATGCAGCACACAAAATGTAACACACGTTCATAAAAATATAAATTTATTGCTTCAAGTTTCAAAAGTGCAAGC